ACAGGAATCGTCCCAAATTAAAACAAAACAAAACAAAAAACCAAAACCAAACCAAACCGAAAAAAGAAAACCCCAACTCTATATAAAATTCCTATACTTATTTCAAAAGAAAAAACAACGCACCACACATTTCTGGTTTGCAGAGCAGAGAATGACAAATATTACAATCATTCCACAGCGGACTGCAATTAAGGTATCTTGTAACAGAACTGACCGACTTCCAGGAATCAAGGAACAGGTTCTAGGCGTATGCCTCCTCTAAAATAACTGAAGTCGTAAAGCGTGCTATTAAAGCGTTCAGGTCCTTAATGATCCCTTGTTAAATTGTTGCCAAGTATGTGAAGCTGGGCCAAGTTATATATTCCGGCTGTTTCATAAAGATGCCTTGACCCACTTACCACGAGTTTTATACGTTTTCTGACAAGATCCAAGATGAAAGCCCACTGAACTGAGTGCTTGCATCCTACTGCATGTGGCGGAGCAGGGAGGGAAGTAAGCAGCAATGTGTGTGTGGCTACAACAATTTGTACATCCACAGGAGACGATGGGGGAGGCTCTGCTAGAAGCTTTTCGTGAAATAGTTCCTATCTCATATATGATTAGTGATGTATACTGGAGCTGGGGGGGACGGAGGGAAGAGCATGTAAAGGGTGAACATGATATTCCTGTTAACAGACAGCAGCACAAATAAATGGCACTTTTGCTTACAGATGTTTTAGTATTTAGTTTGTTATGCAATGAAGAAAGGTTTATTTTCACCACCACCCCCCATACACACACTCCATAATTAATGAGAAGGAAACTAATTCTAGCAAAAGTGATGAACGTGACCGTCACGTGTGGCACCAGATAAAACCAAATTATTGAAAATGCAGTGAAATCCTTAATTTGTCTAAGTAGTACAGCTGTTGGATTCAGTAGCTCTCTGGCAAGAAGGTAAGGGCAGCTCTCCTGCTGCAACCACGCCATGCCCCCGGCAGCACACGCTGCATTGAACTGTGCGAGGCAGTGGGGGCGCAGGGAGGGAGGGAAGGCTGAGGGAGAACAAAGAACCCCGAGTGGTAACAGAGAACACTACAGCCCCCTCAAATGCAGTGGTATCCAGTCCTGCACTGAACCAGCTGGGAACCTCCTATGGAATCTCTCATTCTTCGCAACTGAATATATTCCTAATATTTAAGTAGAAGATGTTTCTATTACCAAATGCACCCTGACAGTTGATTATTAAGCAGAGAGCTGAGTTTAACAGAAAAGATTTGCACACCACTGCATTACTGGCTCAGGTAAACAGAGTTAAACTACATCACTTTGATTTATCAAACAGACCATTTCCTCCAGCTTATCCGTACTGGAAACTATGATCAAATTATTTTGTGCCAAATCACTAAGATGAGTGTGACGATTTTAACGTACGACAACACTCTCTCAAACCACGGAGATGTCATTATATCATCATTTTCATACCTAGGGGATTATGCTGACCTTAGATCAGAAATAAAACAACAAAGGATGGGGATGAACAAGAGCGGAGAAGACTGCCTCCCTTGTGATGAGTAACTTCCACTGAATCCACCAAGCTGATTAGCTACCTCCCACTACCTCTGTTATTAATTTGGGAAGTAGGAGAACTAGAGAGCAAAGTGGTTTGTTGCTCACGAAAGCAAATGGGGGAAAAAAAAAAAAAAAAAAAAATGGTGGTGTGTGTGTTTGTTCCTTCTCTCTCATTACAAACCCAAATCCTGGACCTAAATTTCAAAAATACACAGCAACTAAAATTACAGTTGGATACATAAGCATTGCTGTTTCTTTGTAGGCAGCAAGTGAGAGAAATACACTAGATCTCAAATGGAAAACAATATTTGAAAATAACCTCTCCAAGGCCTCTCCCCTTGGGACCTTCCAAAATGTGCATCAAGGTGCAAAAAGCACCTACTACGAAGTTCCTAAATTCACAGTTAGACACTGAACACTGGGCCCCCCGTGCCAAAAGAAAAAAGAAAAACCAACCAAAGAAACAGGCTGATTTTCCAAGAGATCCTGTACATCTAAGGCAGCCTTTTATTTAGGGGCGTTTACCTAGCAAATTCACGGTTAATGAAATGGACACAACCGAGAGCCTCCCATTACACTTTCAGAAATGTCTTTCACCTTCTTTTCTGACAAGTCATGATCCAGCTCATCTTCAGAATCATCCTCGCTCTGCTGCTGTTGCTGCTGCTCCTGCATGTCCTTCATTTTAATCAGCAGCTCTGCCTTCGGTGCAGATGTGCTGTAGTAAGTAGAATTGGTTGTCAAGGAGATGGCAGACGGTGCGCTCTGCTCCTCTTTCCTGGTAAAAAGTCAAAACTTTCATTAACCGCCTTGACACCCTAATCACCGAAAATAAAGGACAATCTTTTAGAGCTATCATTTCACCAAGCAAGCAGGGGGTTCAATAGGAACTGTGTAAATAGGATAAATAAACACTGGTTGTGGAGAAAATTTGTATGAACTCAGCACGTGCTCACCAAAAGCTAAAACTGAAGCAGGGCAGAAGACCTTTCACCACCACAATGAGTGAAACAGACCTAAAATCTCTCAAGTGGAAACAAAATGTAAAGTTACACTTTACTAAGTACTGCAAAGACCTCAGTGTCATATGGAGTATCCTTTCAGACTGCCACATGTGGGATACTACAATGTAAGTATTCATCTTATCTTTTTGATTATGGAATTACACATGAACTTCTCGAGAAGGCTACAACTTCATTTGTTAACTCGTATCAAGGAAATGAAAGACCCACAGAACATCAACATGGATGGAATGTAATGGAATTTAAATCTTTCTTACTTTGTTCTCATTCAATTCCAGGAAATCCCTCATGCCCACTTTAAATTGGCTTTGTAAATTTCCATCACATAAAAAAGGCTAAAATATTGTTCTTTCTCTATCCAGTGACTAGACCAGATGATCTTGGTAAAATATCTAATCACTATGAAATGGGAGAAGCTAATTATTCCTTAAGTTCTCACACAAATAGTTGTCAAGCAGGTCTTGGGAAACTTTTCATATTGTACAACGGTGTTATTTTTCTGTCATTACTTGTATCACTAGTACTACGCCTGACTGCTGTTCTAATGGAAAGGTCTTAGAAAAGCCCCAAGCAGGAAGACCCTGGCCTTCAGCCCCCTAGGAAAACTGACACACTTTGGATAGCAGCTTACAGGGAACCACCGGCCTACAGAAAGTAATACTCACTTCTCCTCTGAAATTTTTGGAGAAGGAACTTTTGGCAGGAGCTTCCTGCGCTGCTGAGCTTCTTCTAGGAGGTGTTCGTCCTTAGGGAATATACCAACCATCAGATCCATTGTTGTTTTTATTTTCACATTAGGATCTAGTATGTCTGCTAGAGATTTATCTCTTCCCACAATCTCTCTGGCTAACTCCTCTGACTTCCAGTCTTCAAAGGTCTTCTCTTTGGCCTTTACATAGCTGACTGCTGGTGTGGCAGCATTGCTGTCCTTCAAGTTGCTCCCAGGTTCTTCAGCCGGCTCAGGGTCAGCTGATTTGGTTCTGTTTTCTGGCTCTGGCTCTACACCTTGCCTAGTGTAAGCACAGAATCGTGAATAGGATTGCTCAGAAGTGCTGAGTGTTTTAATTTGGTCCTTTTCCAAACCACTGGGTAAAGCAGGAGGCTCCATAGTACTGACAAGACTTTGCCGACTCTCCTTCTCTGCGCTGCTCTCAGAATGAACTATCTTGATGGGAACCATTTTCACCGTAGTATTGTTGTCTATAACCCTTTCAATTCTGGAAAATAAGGAAAATTCATCTTCAGAACTGGAAGAACCTTACATCTCAATTCTTATCTGCAAATCAGCGGGGAAGCCCAAATATGAAAAAAGGTAGGTAAGAGATCCAGGTAATGGAATATTCCTTGTACCGTATCTCAAACCCTCAATCTACATGTTTTCTTTTCTGCCCACACATTTTAAATAACATTAGTTCGTTTGTAAGTGAACATCAGCCTTGCACAATACTCACGGTACAGAACTTGTGCTTGTTTCCATGAACGTGACGCTCCAATCTCAGCAGCCAGGCCTCAGATTTGAGACAGTGCTGCTGAGCTGCCTTTTACCCCTTTGTTGCCACGCATATGGAGGAAAACACGCCTCGAGCTCAATCTCACTGCCTCACACAGATCCAACACTGGCTCAGCTTCTGGCCTGACAGGCAGCTTAGCTGCCTGGGGAGTTTGTCATGCTCTCACATCAATTCCCAGCTCTTCCAAGGGAAGAGACAGCAGACCAGATGGAAGCATCCTGCAGGCTAGGCCTTTGCTGAGCTACAAGAGTAACAAATAATTACACATGGAAAACCTGGAAATCATTCAAACCTTAATTACATGATTTTTTTTTTTTTAAAAAAAAGTCTGCATCTGTAGAATTTCACACAAGATACAGAAGTTTAACAAATGGATCCCACTATAGTGTCCTAGTTTTCTACTTAAAAAAGAAAAAGCAGCCACTGAAGAGGATAACACACAATTCTGGATATTCCTTTTAAGGGAAGCTTACAGCAAAAACTCTCTACTGCATCACACAAAGGGCCACCTTAGACATTCAGTAAGGCAAGTTATTTAAAGAAAAGGCTAACTTAGATTTTAAAATTGGACAATAACAAGTTAAATAACACTACTGAAACATCTGTACTGTATGTAAACCATGTAAGAAACTGAAGTCTAGTTCGGTGGTTTTGAGTTTGCAGAAAGTTTAAAATTATCGTCATAATGTGGGTTTGGAAGCTCTACAGCAAGTAAAGGAACATTGCCTGCTTGCTAAAATATCTGGTCTGGTTTCATCCGGCTGGGTAGCTTGCTGCCTTTCAGATAAGTGAGCAAGACATACTATGGCTCTTTTCCTATAAGTGTGGGTGTGTCACTTTCCTTAAAAATAAACTTACACTTTATTGTACTGTACTTTTCTTTTGTAGGCAACAGCAAAATCCGGTTGATTTCGTATTTTTCAGAAGTTGTATCTTATATTTTAAAGGTATATTTGCTTCTGAATGGATGTGCAGCCTCCCAACGGGTATTTACTTTCAAGTGCTTTGCGGACACGTTTTGGCATACTGATCCAACTTTTGGGGTAGGTTTTCCAGCCCATGCTGAATTTGGTCAGGGTGTCAAGGCGACTATAATTTTAAAGAGCTCGCTCCCGTGTCCGCCACTCAGCCCCAGCTCCCTGCCTGCAGATGTGGGCTTTCCTGGCTGCAGCGGAGCTGGGCAGAGGCCTGCCACTGCCTCTGACCCTTTCTTTTGTTTATTTTTAAATAAATGCCCCCACCTCTTGGGCTCCACTAGACTGTGAAAAGGAATACATTTTTGAATTTTGTGGAAATACAAGATGCATGCATAAGTGCGTGGGGGACAACTGGAAGAAGCGAGCTGACTGTAATTCTTACCTAAAATGCCCAGCATCTCTTTTGAGACTCTGAGTACATTCCTCTCGGCCTAGTCAATGATTTTTCCAGATACTTAAGGCATCATCAAGTCAACGGATTTCAGTCAGACCAAAGACAGTTCAACACCAGGTGCTTCAGAAACTCTGTCTCTGCATTCACCATCCTCCTGATTTCTGAAGGTTTTCCATTTGTCAACTGTGGCATGAAATTTTGACTTGCAGAAACTCTGCTTGTGGCCACTATGAAGCTTTACTCCAACCAGGAGCACAGTCACTCCTTGACCTGAGTGTATGTTTACTGGAAATCTACTGATGCACATCTACTGATGCACTCTTTTCATCTTTATTATCGCTAAACAGTCATCTTTGGCAATAGCTGGGTTCTGCACACCACCAGTATTTCTCCACACTACGTTGTTCTAGCTAAAATGCTGCGGGAAATCCTGCACGCTCATTCAGTTTATCTTGTTGATCAACAAGACAAGACACCTTTCTCAAATAAGAGTAAACAGCTACACGCTGACTTCATCAAACAGTAGCTGTCCACAGCATGCAAACTGGCATGTCCAGAAGCTCAGATGCAAGGAGCCAATAGAAGTAATAAGCCAAATCTAATTAATTGCATATTAAGATAAAACTACTTGACATAGTTTACTCCTATGAAATAAATACCACAGAGTAAATACCATATAGAAGGTTCAGAGGTATGGCCCACACATCTTTCCTTTCTTGCCATACCTGTTGTATTGAGTAATGTAATTATTAACTGGGGACAACACATTGTGCACAAACAAGAGCTGTCTGGGCTTAAGAATTTTAAATGTTAACAGAAGATTTGCAGGGTAAATGTATTACTGTTCAGACACGGACATATAATTAGGCACATCTCAGTGCTCATTTCAACATTAAAGCTTAGTAAAAAGGAAGGACAAATACAATTAACTTTGAATGCATCCTTAGTAATACATTAGCAATACATTAAGGAAGTCGTTACTGTCTACCTTTGCACAAAGACGCTAGGGTTCATGTGACATGTTGCACTTTTCATAGTAAACTGTATTATTACTTCATGTTAAAAACACTGTGGGATGAAATGTCATTTTTTTCCTCTGGTTACAAGAGGAAAACATCAAGGCACGTTTAGGAAAAAAAGTGATTTGTGTTTTCCACGTCCTAAGGCGCACTGGAAACTAGCATGATTGAGTGTATTCAACCATTTACATTACAGTAGAGAAAAGCTACTCCATTTACTTTTGCTCAGAGAAGCAAGCTCTGCATTCATTCAGCTTGGAGGTTTTGTTTTCATTCTTTAACCATGAATTATGGTGCTGAAGGATTTATGAAAAATAAGATTCCTGAGCTTCCTGAAGAATTTGTTCTCTTGTGGGAGAATAACCTTTTATGATGTTAGCAGCATATGACAGACACAGCAATCAATTTCAGTTTGTTTGTCTAATTCTGAGTTTATCTAGCTTGGGAAAGGACCAGATTTCTCCTGCTGAGCTTTTAGCCCATCTCAACACAAACACTGCTGCAGACCCCTCCACAGACTACCTGGAATGCCATGTTTCATCTAAAAGCAACATGAAAACAGTCATGATTTGGCAGTGCACCTTATTGTGCGCGCTTTCAAAACAGATGTTCTCACAAAGGATACAGCTTCCCTTCCCACACCTGGTTTGTCCTTATACCAATTCATATTCATATGCAGACTCAGGTGAGGGAAACAACAACCGGGAATCTTCTGATTTAGCCCAGACTTACAGTGGAAAATCCATTTGAATCCACCCCTCTCATTTTCTACTAACTACCAGCTCTAACACCTGAGCATCAGTCAACTAAAAGAAATCACAGACCAGTTGAAAGACTTCAATGGTACTCACTGGAACTTCACACAAGTCTTAGATCTCTTTAGGACATGCTGGGATGGCACGTGCTTAATGAACCCGAAGGACGTGGTTTTAGTAAAGAAACTGAACATTCAACCATTAATACGGTCTAACTGGGAAAAAAGGGTTAATAAAACAGTAAAGGAGTTACATTTAGTACCTGGCTGGGTTCTCATCCTGTACGGACACAGGAGGTTTATCAGTGAGCTTCTGTGGTGCGAACTGAGGAGAAGGGGACCTTGATGTCTCCATGCCAGGTTTTTGAAGATACCGATACTTTGAAGACAACACAGACTCAGACCTAAGGTGCGTTTTTTCTTCTAAGTGCTGACAAACATTCTCCGTGGATGATGCTTGCTGGAGCTGCTGTGGATTAGCACTCTTCAGTTTTCCATTGAAAGCTGCAGGACTGTGACAGAGAGAGGAGTGACTGGCAAATACTTCAGCAGAGCTGGGGGACGAGGATGGAAAGGGCCGGCTGGGCGCTGCCAGCAGAGATTCAGAAGAGGTGCTGGGCGACAGCACAGAATTATCTGGTCGCCTGTATTTATCTCTTTTAGGTGGTGGTGGCCTCTGAGGAGCAGGTCCACGCTTCTTGTTCAGTAGTGACGGCTCTACCCTATGGTTTTCCTCTCCTTTGCCCCGGAACAGACAGGAGTGGTTCTCGTTTGAGGTCTGGGGCTCTGAGCAGGGGAGATGAGGCAGGCTGCGATCCTTGCTCTTCTCGGTCACGTTTTCCTGAGAGTATCGGTAATCACTAGGCAATGTCCCAGACCTCCCCCGGCTCTCGTGAGGCAGAACTGTAGGCTCTCGTGCATGCAAAGGTCTGACAGATGCCTTCCACTTGTGGCCTAAATTCTGGTCCAGCTGATCCCTCCTCTCCCGTGTGTTTTCCTTCAGGGCCCCTGGGTCAGCTTGCCTAGAGAGAAGGACACGTCGTTAGTGTGCTGCTGATTTATTTCCTTCGGCGCAAGGCCACCGCACCGATCCACGAAGCTTCAACACCAAGATCACATCCAACGTTTAACACCAACTCCTCCAATCTATGGTAACTGTACGGCACAAAAACATCCTCTCACGTACGGGCACACGCGGCGTACCTAACCTAACGTGATGAGTCAAAGCACGATGTCAGGCTAAATTAGGGTATGGAGCACCACAGGGTGCGGCACAACCTTCGGGTAACCCGAGGCGTGGCAGCGTGCACGGCATAGTTAAATACACTGCACACCTCCAGCGCTGATGTGTGTGGCACAGCCAAACGTGCAAATGTTGGTAGGAAATAAAACTGTCTCAAGAAGAGAAATCCTGATACTAAAATGTAATTCTCTTCTTGCTTCAGAGTCAGTAATGAAGTGCAGAAAACAAGCTGCTTCTCTGTGTGCAAAATTAATAGTTCAGTGTCATTTTAAATGTGAATGGAATAACATGAACTTTAACTACGTATCTGGAGGTTGAATTTCTGCATAAATGGTGAAAAATGAAATGAGTGCAAACAAAATGTTTGCTGAAGCTAAAAAACTGGGACAGGGAAAATTGGAATCTCCTGAAAAAAAAGGCAGAAAAAGAAATTTAGAAAGGAGAGTATTTTCCAGTCAGGCTTATTTTAAGCTTGAACTTCTTTTGCCCTGTCAGCACAAATGACAATGGCCAAAAAGGCCTTATCTTAGACAGAAATATCTTTGGGTTTATTCCAATTTTACACTCTCTATTTCTCTAGCGAGGACACAGGCTTTCACAGCTCCAGGCTTCTGCTTTGCCACAAGACATGTAGTTCCTTTGTGCCCACCAGACGAAGACAAACTGGGAAAGAAACAGAAGGCGGGGTG